GATCTTGAGTGATAACTAAAATTCATCAAATACCCCTGCTCATTGTATCCATCCATATATCTTGTATAAAGGGCAGGTTCAGTTTGTACACTACATATAGGAACCAGGCTGAGGGGGTTTGTGAGAACTGAAATCCAATCCAAAGTCTAGACACATTGCTGTGCTCCTGGTATCCACAGGTCCTTCCTGTCCCTCCCCTCCTCTCTCATCCCAGGGGATGTCCTCTGTCATGATCAAAAAACAAAGGTCCTTTTTTCCAATCAAGATGTGCAATGGTTGAGGTTGGGGACGTGGCTCAGTGGTAGAGCAATTGCCTGGCATGTGTGAGGCACAGGGTTCGATTCTCAGCACCACATATAAATAAATAAAGATCCATTGACAACTAAAAAAAAAAATTAAAAAAAAAAGATGTGTGATGGTACTCTTTCTACCTGAGGGGATGCCTTTCTTTAACTGCCACACAGGCTGATTAGTGACCTTGCCTACACAGGCTAGTTACCACAGGCTAGCAGTGGCCATTTTGGCTTATAGTGACCTTGTTTATATACTAGCAAATATAGTGTTTGGCTCTTCTATGACATTGCTGCTGGCATATTTAATTGAGTGATTTCTGATAAGCTGAGATTTTACTATGGTGCTTTGGATGGTGGGGCAATCATTGATAGAGGTTTTCAGAAAGTGCTGGGTTCCTTCTAGCCAAAGATTATGGCCGCTTACAACTTTCTGGAATCTAATGACATGGCTCTTCTGAAACCCTTCTTGAAAAATAATGATCTGAATTTGGAAAAAAAATTAAAAAGAATAATCTTTTATAAGAGAGTCCATAAGATTTCTAAAAATTATAGTTGTCTGTTTAGCTTTGATTCTGATGAGAATAGTGCAGATTGCTGATACTGTGTGGGTCCAAGCAGATCAATATTTCAATATGTATCAGTAACATTAGATGGCCATTAAAATATCAGGTTCTAAATTAGGAATATCATATAAACTGGAAAGAAAGCCTCCTTCTGTAATCAGAATTTTTAATCAACCTTTGAAAGAGTAGCAGGCTGGGTAGTGCTATGTGGTCACAGAGCACTGGATGAAAGTCAAAGGAAGTCCAAGAGTAGATATCTAGGTAAATGCTTCAAGTCAGCCACACATTTGGAGTGAGTTCAGGACTCTAGCAAAGGTTTTCTCACCTCCCTCTCTGATCACCTCTTTTCCAGTACTTACATTTGTTTGATGATAACTAATGTTCTGAGATTTATTAGTCACTATTTTGTCTTAAAGATTCATCTACTCTTAAAATGCAGATACCTCATGGATGGGAAGAGTGCTATCTTTGGTTATCAGTTCTCTGAGAGAGAGGTGAGGGAGTGGCAATGATCTGGGAAAGAGTTGAGACAGTTTCAACTGCGATTTCAAGCAGAATGGACTCTACTCCAGAGATCAAAACAACTTTATGTGGTCAGCTCTGCCTAGGAAATGATCATTTGACTCAGAGAGTCCTGGACTTCAGTCTATAACTAACCATGTGTACGTGGACAAACACTGCTTCTCAAGCTATGATTTCCTCCTCAACAAATATTTATGTGCCTTATACCTGTCAGGCATTGTTTTAAATGAACTCATGAGAGTAATAGTATCCATCTTCTAGGATTGTTATGAGAAATACATGAGATAATCTTGATAAGTGGTGCTATGTTCCAGATGGAGTAAGAAGACGCTCATGGATCAAGTAAACATAAGGACAATTTCTTTCATCTGTACAACTCTGCACAGTTTACAATGCACGTTCACATTGGTTGTCTCCTTATGGCAACACTGTAGGTAGAACTAGCCAGAACATTGGGTGTTCCATTTTACAGTTGAGGGAGTTAAGTTTGGCATGATTAGTTGTAATCCCTACTGAGAAAGATGATTTGCTAAAATAAGCAAATCTTGGCCTGGTATTTTGTATTTATTACTGATGGAGAAATGCAGTATGGCTTGGAGAGATTTTGACTTTCTATTCTGAAACATATAATGAAAGATACTTTTAGGAAAAGTATGAATTGACTAAAGGCTTGTACATGTTGTTAAAGTAGTAAAAAGTTACTGGACACAAAGAAGAGGGTGCTGAACAATTTAATCTGTAATGGAGAAAAGCTATGGGCAGAGTCCCTACTGTTCTTCATTGTCGCTTAAATATTGAAAAACTAAGGAAGGGAGAGATTTAGGTTGGAAATAAGAAAAGATTTTTATCTCACCCAAAGCTTCCTAAATTTTGGAAAAGTCTTTCAATAAAGAGTCTGGAATCTCTTTCATGAAACATATTTAGAAATCTTGGATGTTTATATAAATTGGAATCTTATTCAGAGATGAAAAATGTAACCCAAAAGCATTTTACAATGACCTCTTAGAAATCTATTCCCATGGCTTGGCAACGTGTAGATGACTTAGTGGTAGGAGAGGAAAAATTCTATCATTATACTTGTTCCAATCCTTTTCAGCTAAGTAAACACTAGTTTTAAAAGCAGCAAAAATGAAATGAATAGATTTCAAACATTTCAGTTGGATGCTCAGACTATGTCTCACCCACAGCGGAGCAAAACCTTTTCTATTGATCAGACTCTACCCTTCATTGTCTGTCTGGGAGAAGCATCCACCAATGTGTGGATGAAGTAGGTCCCTCTAAGGGATTTTTAACTCCATCAAGCTAAAGACTGTGAATAATACTTCCCCATAAATAAACAGGTTATAGAAATATGCCTGCTTCCTCTGTTCCTTCTAGTTTTGTTACAAATTAAAACCTTAGACTGACATGAGAATCAGAGTTGTTTTTTTAAGGCATGTGACCTTGCTAAGGTTCTTATTTTTAAATTCTGTAAAATGCCATATGTGCCTGTCGACTTGGTGTGTGTGTGTGTGTGAAAACACTCCTCTATCTCTGAAACACGGCCTTTTTGGGGATAAGAAACAAAGATACCTTCTTTGACTAAGGAGGAGAGAAATTTGCTAAGCGGGGATACAACTGCTTTCTGGTCTATGAATATATGGCATGAGTTCATAGAAGGTGCTATCTTCATGACCTGCTGTGGTCAGGAAATATTTTTCCCCTTGCACTCAACTTATCTTTAGATACATCATGTCATTAAACATTATTAAAAAGCAAATGAATTTGGCTTCTTTTTTTTTTTAAATCAATGTCATTAAAAATAGATGAAGGGAATACAGTTGGCTCTCCATGTCTGTGGACTTTACTATCATGGATTCAATCAACCTCCGGTTGAAAATATTTGAAAAATTTCCATGATACTAAACAGGTAGAGATTTTTCCTTGTCATTGTTTCCTAAACAATATAGCACAACAACTATTCACACAGCTTTTCCATCATATTAGGTATTATAAATAATCCAGAGATGACTTCATGGATAAAGGAGGATAAGAATAGTTCCTATGCAAGTGCTCTGCCATTTTATGTAAGAGGCTGGAACATCCTTGGATTTTGGTATCCATCCATTGGGGGGAATCCTGGAACCAATTCCCAGAGGATGACTGTATACTAAACAGACATAACTACCCAATGCAATCCTTGATTAGATCTTGGCTGTCTTAGTTCATTTGTGTTGCTATAACAAAATACTTTAGATTGGGTAATTTATGAATAGAAATCCATTTCTCAAGTTTTGGAGGCTGGGAAGTGCAAGATCAAGGTGCCAGCAAATTTTGCATCTGGTAAGGGCTCTCTGCTTCCAGTGGGGCAATCTTGTAGCATTTTCAGGAGACTGAGGGCAAAAAGACACTAATCCAGTAATGTGGGTGAAGCCCTCATGTCCTAATGGCATCCCAAAGGCCCCACCTCTTACCACTATTACATTGAGGATTAAGATTTAACATGAATTTTGCAGGGACACAAACATTCAAATCACAGCCTTAGTTTTTATTAAACAATCATGTTTCTTCCTGTCTGAAAATTTTCAAAATAAAAAGTTGAGGGGGAAGAAAAAGATGTAGCAGTCAACCTCTTCAAACCATAACTCGGGGTTATGGTTTGGTGGTAACCCAGAGGCCAGAGGGAATCACTTCAAAACTCGTGAGAGGCCAGGATTATAGCTCTGTGCATTCTTGATAAGACGTTTGGCATGTTGCCTTTTAGAGCTTAAGTCATACTTTCTTAAGAGCTACGATTTTAAACAGAGGAACTTGCGAGTGAAGAGGATGCAGTTCCTGGGTTATGAAACATGTTCTATAGCCGGAAGCTTTAATTACAACTTCTTTGGAGTTCATAGTATATCGTCCTCTTTAATCCCCAATCAGAGGTTTGAGTCATCAAAATAAATCTGCAGGATTTACTCACAGAGTCTATTATGGAGCAGCTCAGCTTCAGTTTCCAGGGATATGATATATGACACCTTCTGCCCTTTGACTGCTGATGTGTCTCCTGATCTCCAAAGCCAAAGCAGAGTCCAAGATTAGGGCAACATCTATTTAAGGGTGTGTTTTTGCAGGTGCTGATTGGCACATGACGGCTGAAGGTAGGGATGATTCAATGCTGAGAACAATGTGGAAACTTCACTGGGGAAAGAAAACACTTCTGGTAGGAGAAGTTCAAGTTGACATGCATGTATAATAACTCCATCAATTTCCCCCATGAGGGGGTATACACTAGGTCGTGTGTGAGCGCGTGCGGAGCGGGGGATATCTCTGAAAGATGACTTGGAAACCCGACTGCGGTTCTTTGGAGAAGAGGGTTTAAAGGTTTCTGGCCTGCCTGCCCGGAAGAGACGCAAGACTGGGATTTCTTCTGGATTTTAGGAAGGATGAGACCAAAGACCGATTAATGCATTCATTCTGATATTGGTGAATTCAAAGTAGCTTCTGGTCAGATCCGCCCCTCCCCGTGATGTTTGCGGCACCAGCACGAAGCAGGATTCCCCAAGCTTCATCACTCGCGGCGATTCGCTGTCCCAGGAAATTCTCCTTTCTCAACTCGGTTTCGGTGTTCCTTACCCGCCACCCCGAGACCTCCCTGGCTGCAGGCATCACCCGCTTCCGGTCTCACTGTCAGCTCGGGCTGCAGCGAGGGGAGAGGGCTTAAGAGCTCGTCAACTCCGGGAAAACTTCGTCGCCAGACAGGACTGGGGTTTTCGGGCTTCCCCAGCCCTCCCACGCCGGGTCACACAGCTAGCATTAAAGTGGCGCGGCAACTATCGCTGCTGTCCGCCAGGCAGGTTCTGAGCTGCAGAGACCCGGGCGACCGGCAGCGCCGCTTCAGCACCGAATGCACCCGGGACGTGGCCGCCGCCATCCAGGGGCTCCTGGCGGGGGACAGCGGGTGCAAGGAGACTTTGCGCCACGATGCTTTGTTTTCCTGCCGCAGGAACGCGAGGCGGTCGCTTTCCACCAGACTTAACCCGCCCGCAGCAATAGCCATGGAAGTTGCAGCGGCGGCGCAGAGCGAGAGGGGACCCCGTGGCGCGGCATCTTTTTTGGATGTTTCTCCTCCTCACGGGTCACTTCTTTCCTCCTTTGGGTAAGTGGACTCAGTTTCTAAATGGCCAAAGAGTAGAACTGAAGGTGATGGAAGCGAATTAGAGCAGCACAAAGCGTTCATGTGCTCATTGCTGGGTTGTCTTGGGAAGGGGTCTAACATCACCCCCACCCCAGGGCGGTCCATCCCAAATATCGCAGTTCAAGGAAGAGTTGCGTTTGATTTCAGGCATGTTGCAGTAGAGGGTGCTGGGGTTTATGTACTTATTTATTTTTGGTGCATTCCCACAAACTTGTCTTTGAAAACATTCCAAGAAGGGAGATTGAAAGTGGAGGATAAGAGGAGGCCCTAGAAGTCAATGGCTGGGACAAGGTAAGAGCGGAGGTACCAGTGATTTAGCAGAAAGATGATCTTAAGGGTCAGGGACTAGTCTTTATCCCAGATCAGCAGCTGTAGACACTCATCCTGCTCCCCACCCCAAGAATGTCAATCCCAGTCTTCCCCAATCCTTCAGTGACTGCCCTACTGATGCCATTCAGGAAGGTCTTTCATTACCCAAGGGGCCAAACATAACTTCTAGTGAGGACCTGCAACCAGGATGTTAAGTAAATAAATGTTTGTTGATTGATACTAAATCTGCATTTTGTGCCACAGAATTTTGCCTTGGACAGTGAACTAATTCCCTGATGTTGACCCAAGTATAGCCCAATTTATTTTGCTAAGAGGAGGGACTGGAGTCTTGGATAACAGAACCTTTAGATATTCATTACCCCCAAATAATCCAGCTGACAGCTTCATAGTCAGATTCCTGGGTCCAGGGACCAGATGAGCTCACAAGGTTCTGGCATAAAAAGTGTGGGCCTTTGGCTCAGGCAAACTTGGGTTTGAATCTCTATGTTGTGACCTTGGAAGGATTTCTTTATCCTCCTGAGTCTTGGTCTTCTCATCTGTTAAAGCAGGAGCTTTCTCAAAGAAATGTAGGGAAGATGAATGGAGAGGAAATAAGAGAAGGCGAAGGAGCATCCAATAATATCAGTCTTGCTTGCCCATCCTTGGAGAATTCAGAAGGGAAGGAATCTTTCTCTGCTGACCTCTCTCTGACTTGGATGGAGGTAAAAACATTGCATTGCAGTCCCTGGGCCTGTAAAGTTATGGAGGAGAGGGCAAAGTGATGCTCCAAGGCCCTTCTTTGAATCAACTTTCTTAGGGCTTAGGAACAGAATTTCCACACATCCTGATGGGATGAATGGGAAAGGCAGAAATTCTGAATATCTCATTTCCTTTTCTCATCCATGCTCTCTGCCTTCTACTACAGGAGGTAAAGTGTGGAGAAGGTAGCTCCGAGGCACCTGGGTACCTGCCCAAAGGGCTGAGGAGTCAGAGTAGCACCATTGGTATGGTACCATTTTCCCTGTATGTGGTCTGCAGAGAACTCAGGGCTCCAGCTTGGGCTGCCTGTACGGTCAGTGACAAAGCATTTAGCAACTTTCCCATAGACCACGGTGGCCCTTTATGGATCTTGCCCTTGGACTTGGAGACCTGGATGTGTTGGGGAAAGTGGGGGGTGGATGATGGAAAAGGTACTGCTGACACATGGCTCCACAGGGTCTCAAGATGTCCTGTAGTGGCATGCAATTCAGAGAGCAAGTTCTAGTGTAGGGTTTCAGGACCACAGCTGGGTGGTTGGGGGTGGCAGTCACTTTCTCATTTATAAGTAAAGGCAACAACAATATAACCTGACCTTCTGGCACCAGATATTCTTTTCCATAAGGCCAGCACCTAGCACTCTGGAGGCTGAAGAGGTGTTCAGTTTATGCATATGTTAAATGAACAATGAATTTTAGTAACCTTAGCTATACCCGGCAGTAATGATGACTTTAACGATTTCTATCAATTTATGCCTTCATTTAGCAAGCATTTCTTGAGCATCTACGATGTGCAGGGCCCCATTACTAAGCATCCTAGGGAATTTTATATTGATACTTCAGAGTGGCCTCTTTGAGAACCTCAGTACTGGCTTTTCTGGAGACTTCAACACAAACCCCTGTGGTTTCTCGCAGGGCTAGAGACTAGGGGTGGGGATAGTGTTCCCGGTTTAGCCACTTTCTGGGAACATGGTTGGGGGTCTCTTTGCACTTCCCAGTCCTGGGTCCCTGAGCTCTCCAGGGCTACTGCTCCCTGGAGCCGCCCGGCCTTGGCAACTCCTCTTTCCTCTAGGGCCATGGCACCTCTCTCCAGCCCTCTCCCCAGCCTCCGAGCGGGAGTCCAAGTAAGTCGTACCGCAGGTAGCTGGGGAATGGACCGGGCTGCGCCTGGGGAACGAGCTTCCCCGGATGGGGAGATCGCAGCCGACGCCGAGCAGTCCCAGAACAAAAGGCTCATGACTGGCACTGTCCTCCGTGGAGTGCAGTGGGGACGTGGGTTCGGGGCTCAGGCGGGAGAACCAGGAGCGGGAGGGGACTGGAGTGAAAAAATGAAGTGACAAAAGAAGGGGAGGAGGCGCCCAGGGTGGGAGCGGTGAGAAGAGGTGATCCCCGAGGCAGAGGTCTGCGGAGGGGCCGCAGCAGCCCTTCCTCCGCCTCCTGCGGAGCCTTCCAGGCAGCCAAGCGTGTCTCCGGCTGCAACTCCACGGAGCGCGCCGCGGCCGCCTCCCTGCCCGCTGCCGGTCGGCCTTGCCAGTAAGTAGCAGCGCGCCGGCCGCCCGCTCTCGCCCCGCCCGGCTTCCTCGCCCTGCTCCTGCTACCTCCCGCCGCCGAGCGGGCAGGTCCGCCACCGCCCACCGCCTGGGGCCTGGCACCCGGGCTCAGCGCACCTCCCGGCCGGGAGCCTCTGTGCGCCGCGCGCCCTGCGCTCTCCCGCCGCGGCTAGGCATCTGCGGCGCGCCACGGGGAGGGTCGGCTTCGCGGCGCGCTCCCCCGGCGCCGCGCCACCCCTCTGTCCAATGGCTTTCGGGGGGTGGGGAGTGGGGGGCGTCGCCCGGGGGCGAGGAGCGCGGCTGGGGTGGGGCGTGTGCGCTCTGCGCCGCGGAGCTAGGCTGACGTGCCCGCCCGAGCGCGCGTCCGGGAGTGTGTGTGCGAGAGTGTGTGCGAGAGTGTGTACGTACACGCCTTCGGGGGCCGAGTGACACTGCAGTGGGCTTCTCCCTAGCCTCGGCCTTCCGGCTGCTCAGCCCCCAACCTGCCGCACCGCTTTTGGAAAGCAGCTTGGTGGCTCTTCGTCTTCCCGAGCCTTCCTCTCCATCCTTTCATCCACCCCTGGCCAACCTTACTTTTTCTTTTACCCACCCGGCCGCAGCAGACCGCCCCTCAACCGGTGCAGACACCCAAGCCGTCTCCAATTCTTCCCTAAGCCAGTATTTCCCCACCTCTCTCTGGAGCCCCATCCACGAGCCAGTCCAAGGCTCGCTCATCCTTGGAAATTGTTTTGTTGGGCTGCTGTTCCGAGGCGTGTAAAGCTCGAGGGCTTTATTATTATTTTGATTCTTTTCATTTCTTCCCCTTCTGGGCAACGGAGCAATGAAATTTCCAATCGAGACGCCAAGAAAGCAGGTGAACTGGGATCCTAAAGGTTGGTATTTGCTACTTTTGGCCGCCCTTGCCCGGCGTGTGCGCGCTTCCATGAGTGAAAGCACTCTTGCCCCTGGCAGCGTGTGTCCCGAGGCTGGGAAATGCTCCTGGGGACTGCAGCACGGGTGGGAGGAGGGCGGAGGCAGCGTGGGTTCGGAACCCAGATAGCGCCTGTCATTACCACATAATCATTGTCCTTCCTGGATTTTTAAAAAAATCTATTTAAAGATACACCAAACTGACTTCTTGGTTTGAAATTTCACCAAGTGTCAATATTTGCTTTTGACTTTGGGTGTGCAAGTGTGTGTGTGTGTGTGTGTGTGTGTGTGTGTGTCCTTTGTTTCTGGTGATCTTTGTCTGTCTGGCAGATGGGTGGGGTGCTTCTCCTGGACCTGGAGCTGTACAGCAAGCCCTGGGTGTCCTCAGTGGGAAAGGTTTCCTGGCAGCAAGTGAGGCTCTGATCTGTAGCCACTGTCCCTGGGGATGGCCTTTCGCACAGGGCAAGCATAATAATGGAGCCCCTAAGGCCTCTGGAGTCTTCGTTCAATCTTATTACCAAACTAGGCAGCTGGTTTGGCTCAGGTTGGAGTAGAAGCGGGCGGGGGAGTGGTTTTCGAGATGGGTGGGGCTGGCAAGGGCTCTGGGAGGGGTCTCACAGTGTGCCCACTGCAGGCAATGGTGTGGTTCACGTGCTTTTTACAAATGTTTGTCTATGTGCCTTCCCTGCAAAATAGGTAGATTTGTGTGTGCCTAGTGTTGGTCACCGTGACTGAAATTAGCATCCAGATGTTAAGGTTTCTCCTGAGTGATTAATAAGGGAGCGGAACACATTGACAGCACGTGTCCAGTTGTGACCAGAATGCTCTTCAGCGTGTTCTTAGCTCATCTGAAGGCAGAACTGGGCTAGGAGTGGCCTCTGGGTGTGTTTTGGGGATGGAATTTATTTGGTGGGTGGGTGTCGTGTTTAATGTTCTTTATGAGGAGCATTTCTTCTCCAGAATGGAAACAGGAAACCCACTCAATTTGTTAAGTAAATGACTTATGAATTGACAGGTAGTTTAAGACTGAATGGAGAGGTGTTGCCCTTTAAAAACACTGAGTTTTTTTAAAACACCTTAAATACAATCCAGACTTACCTTGTTTTTAAATCTCTAGAAATAGGAAAGTGTTTTTTTTTTTTAAATTCCTCCAGAGCATATTTATTGAATACCAAGCACAGTCTTAGGCACTGGAGATATAGTCAGAACAGGGCAGACAAAAGACTCTAGCTTCTTGCAGTTTACAGTAAAGGAGACAGATCTAAAGCAATCATTGCTTGGAGAAGTCCATAATTAAAAGTCTATGTATGCACCATGAGCATCAGGATTTTAAGGAAGTGTTTGATAGAAGAGATTGACAAGGACCAACGGAGGCATGTGGCCAGGGAATCCTTCCCTGAGGCAATTACACCTGTGCTGAAACCTGAAGTAGCAGTTA